GTCGAATGGAGCACCGGACTTCATGTAGACCCCGTCATCGTAGACAGTCATTACTGTTTTCGGTCCTTAATTGCATGTTGTCGCCATCTACTGCCTGAAACCATCGTCCTTTGCGGGCGAGACGTCGCACGCGACGCCCAGCAGCGCGGCGAATTACGATCCTCTTGTCACATACCCCCTTCGCTCACTCCAGTTTTTCACAGTTTTTCACCGACTGTAAGTAGCTCACCCACCCCGGAGTCCCCTCCCCTTGAAAAATCCCGTTTCCTGGCTCGCCATACGTTTTTTGCACGTTTCGATGCTTTGGCAGCCGCTGCCCTCTATCCGTCTGCGTCACAGGGTTTCGTAACAGGACCAAACTTAAATTGAGGCTTCAGCAGTGATCGTGAGATCTAGGGTCTCGCTATGTGCTTCCATTTCATAGGGAATATCATGTGGGTGCACGCGACTGCCAGATCCATCCGCACTGGTAGAAACATTATATACAAGACGATTCCTTGTTACGATGTCAGAGAAACCCATGGCTGCATTTCTGCCGATCAAATAACTTTTAGTGGGAGGAGGCCGCACCAGCGCTACCAACGACAATGGCCTCGCTACCGTGGAATGCTTTGATCCTGAAGGAAGCGTATCCTGTATGGCAGAGCGTCCCCTCTATGACGAAGCGAAGGTACAACATACGATGATAATAATGCTCTTCAACGGCACCTCTTTTATAGGTTTGGAGTCGGTGTTGGTGTTGTCGACAACTTGCTCTACGCTATTGGTGGTTGGGATGGCAAACATTCGAGTAGCGTTGAAAGGTATTATGCATTCTCCAAGCTACCATAACTACATTAGTAGAATTATGTCCAAGTTTCTCCTCTATTACGACAGAGATTCGGTCAGCCACAATTTTTTTTGCTGATGGTACCGGAGTACGAAGCTTCGCTCCGTTTGCTATAGGCAGAAGTAATTTATCTCAGTCAATCCATACCTCAGAGTCACCTGAATGACCTGCTATGGGTGCGATTCAGTTCTTGAACGCAACGATAGACGATGACGATCCATTTTTTATGTATATCCTCGAGCGTTTACCCGATGTGTTTTTAGGTGTTATTTTTGGTAAGATCGGCCAGCTTCACCGTATCTACGAAGAGGGCCAGTGGCCACATTATGTAGAAAGTCCCCCCCCCCCAGTAGGCAGCTGTCTCACCTTTTTATATACAACCCGTCATGCAGATTGTTGAGAACGCAATGGTGTTTGGAATGTTGAAGCCATAGAGCAGTATTTTTCTGCTGTTCGGCTGCTTCCAGTTGCTCAACGTAGGCACGCAAAACATTTCAGAATGTCAAAACGAAGCCGGGGTGCATGTACATTTTGGGTTGGCCTATAAGTAATAGCGGTTTTTTCTCTTATAAATTCTTATATGGAAAATGACAACAGTTCCCATTGTGTTCTTCACGGTTCAATAGATAGTTTAACGCTCCTTAAAGACAGCCCCCGCGCTCAAGTAGTACATGGTCGTCCTTCCTTGTGCAAGTAGTACAGCCCCCAAGCTAGAGACTATCCCACTCTCGCGACTCCACAGCGAGCGAGGAGCGAGCTACAGCCGCTGAAAGTTCTAGTTCTAACGCCCGCCCAGTTGGACCGCCCACTTGCTAGATGCCCTCTGACGGAGGGCCGCTCAGTTGTTCTTTGTTGGGGCGGCGGGCATTAATCGGAATTGCATGTCCTTTTTGCTGACCGCGCTCGTGCCCATGAATAATTCTGCTCTCCTTTCATTACATTTTATTTATTGGGAGCACATACAGTCAACTCAACCCATCTCGCAAGGTAAAAGGCGAAAATCACGAGCGACCCAATTTTT